ACGACTTTGGGTCCAACAGATGGTGGAACGACCTCGGGCCGAACAGATAATAGATGTATAGAACATAATTGATCATATCTTAATGGAACGACCTTGAGTCCAATCATTTACAACTGTATAATGACCATTCTGTCAACTCATAACAGATAATCAGACTAATTAGATATTCATAATGACCTTGAGTTCATCTTGTTAGATATTTAGAATGATCTTAGGTCTATAATACACATTCGTCTCATATCAGTCGTATTTACAGATATCATGTTGATCAGACAGATACGAACTCATTCACAGTTACAAAATCATCAGTTTGGAAAACATACCAGAGTAGGATTTATAGAAAAATAGAGTAATTAAGAAAATATTTTTGTTAAGATATTACTCACAGTGATTCAGTTGTTGACCTTGCGGATGATCTTACACAATTCATAAACACATACACACATTGGGTCATATTGCTTATTCGAATCGTTCTCTAATTTATTCAATTCTCTTAGTCTTCTTTTTAACTTTTTAATTCATTTATGATGTTCAATTCATGCCTAAGAATGCCTAGGAGAGAATGATAATGCATATTTGATCAGAATACATCTTTTCAAAATATGCTGAAACAGAGCACTTTGCTTGAGCTCAACATTGGTTGCTCGAGCGGACTGCTTAGTCTGCAAAAGTACTAGATGGTCTGAATCTAGGCTCGATGTTCGTTCGAGCCAATGTGCAAAATAAAACACAGTTGCTTGAGCGGTGACTTGGTTGCTCAAGCCAACTGCAATTGTCTGCAAAAATACTGGATGCATGAAATGTGCGCTCGAGCAACGAATCTTTCACTCGAGCGGTGAGGCAAAATTCTGAAAATTTCAGAACAGAGTTGAGCTTCAAAGCTTGTATTTTCAAATCAATTACTTGCATAGCTTGACAAAATTTTGAAAATACTTAGAAAATCTTCCAAGAATATGAATACAATGCCAATTTGAAAAAATCAAAGTTCAAGACCCCAAGATTTCAAACTGAAATGTTGATGCATGTATCAATTGTTTTCATACTCTTTTCCAAAGCTTCAAAAATATGCAATTCATTTTCAAAACCTTGTAAATCATGGAATTAAGCTCTCAAACTTCATAATTCATGAATATATGTAGAAGATAGCTTCAAAACTCAACATGGATGACATAAATGGTGAAACTCAACAAAACTATGCATGTATATATGATGTGTATATGAATTGACTATAAATTCAACAATCTTAGCACAATTCTTGTACTTAATCACATAATCCTCTTGAATTCACATATTTGATGGTGTAAACTTATGAATTAAGGTATAAACACATACCTGTAATCTTCGAGAACACTAATTCTAGCAAGAACTTGAGTTGTTCTACTCAATTCTCTAACTTCCTTGTCAAATTCCAAGTCATCTAGCCTCTTCTCTCTCTAGAGCTCTCCCCTCAAATTTTTGAGTTCAATTAAGATTAAGGGAGCCCAAACTCCTAATTATGCCATATATATGTGTGTGAGCACGTGTGTGGAGGGGGGGGGGGGAAGAAGATGGATTAGATTAGGAGATTAATTAAGGTTTAAGTTTAATTAATCACATCTAATTCTAATTGATTTAATCTAATTAATTTTGACTGGATCAAATTTTAATCAAACTTTTTAATAGGTTCTAAAAATTATGTCAATTATAATAAACTAACTAATTTCGGTTTCTGACGCCATTAAAGCCTTCAATTTTCGGATCATAACGGAAATCAAACAGATTTTTCTACGATCAACAGATATATAGTCAAAACCACATTAATATGACATAATTATCATTTAAATTTATACTTAATATACAAGCACATACATAATTAAAAAATTAAAAATATAATACGTGACAGAATTGTCACAATTGAGGTTAGATGGATATGGACCATAAAATCCAGGCTAAGAGGTGGGAAATGACTTAGCTAAAGGTGAACTATATGTATTCCTGAAATGATATATTGCAGGAAAGTACCCCAAAACAAGTATTAATAACGACAGTCCCTGGACAGTTCCATTTACTTGAAATGTGCAAGACTTAAATTATGTCATGCTGAGTTTTTTTTTAAAAATTACGTTTGATGAAGAGAGAAATGTATAAGGAGAATTACGTTTTAGTGAGAAGAAGTGAAACTAATTACAAAGCATGGACGTGCAACACTTTATTTAGGTTGGTTTAGGAATTGGTTATTTTAATTATTATTTTAAAATTTGACTATAAATTCAACTTTCCAAACCAAATTTTAAAAACAGTGCTGCTACAGACCCCCACTGGGGGTCGACCCCCAGTGACGTGGCGGGCCTTCATTGGCCAGTTTTCTGTTTTTTTTTTTTTTTTTTCTTTCTTCCAATCCCGCAGTGCCACGTGGCACTGGGGGTCGGTGGGGGTGGCATTTGCTGGGGGTCCGGCGCATTTCTGTTTTAAAAAGGATAGGTTTCCCACCGGTGCAGGACTGGAGGATCCAACTTAGTGCTTTTTGGCTTCATTTTGGGTCTGTCTCAATTTGAATCATTCAATTTTTTTTGTCTTCTAAGTAGATCATCTATGTAAAATATTAAATTGATTCGAATACCAATAATCACATATTTAGATTATATTTGTCTTACAAAAATAGGTGATGTATTCTCGATATCATACTAGCCGTATATTTGATCGAAAATAAATGTAATTTAAACATATGATTATCAATATTCAATCAATCAAATTTTTTACATAAATAATTTATTTAGAAGATACTTAAATTTGAATAATTTGGATCACAAAGACGGACCCAAAATAGTCTGAAAAAACGCTAAACACAAAAATAATGCTTTTTGAGAGACACATAATTTTTTTTACCATACTTGCAGAATAAATATTAGATGTAACATTAGTATCATATTATTTGATTTGCAGTGGGACCACAATAGTCATTCACTTAATCCATTCACCAACTTTTTATTGGTCAATAACAATGATGATATCACCATTACACTAAGAATAATACTTAGAGTCATTAAAAAGATATTATCAAACGCATCATGAAAATTTTTCATCTCTTAATTAGTGTGTAGTATTTTATTCTAAGTACAATTTAAAGGTGGAAAATTTTTTATGATCATTTTCATAATATTTTTTTCATGATTTGTAACATTACTCTTACCCTAAGGGTGTGTTTGATCCGGGAGAGGCTCTTTATCCGGCGTTTGTTTTTTTTTTAGTCTGCCAGATATGGAGTCCGGCTGGACTTCTTATCCTCCATATGGGGGACTATTGTATCCTAGGGGGGGTATGAGACAATTTTTGGGAGACTATCTACTCTTGGGATTAGGTAATGAAATGACCATTTTGACCCTCTACTATTTAATTATGTATTATATTTAGTAAAATTTAATAAAATTTAAATGTCTCAATTTAAAAAATAAAATAATTTTGTTTAACTTTTTATTGATATTTTATTTATTTAATTTTTTAAAATAATTTTTATAGATATTTTATTTTAAAATTTTGTTTATATTTTAAAAAATAACATATATTTTTATTGATATTTTATTTATTTAATTAAAAAAAATGAATTTATTTAATTGTGTAAAAAATAAAATAAAATAAAATTTTATTTAATCTAGCTAAAAAATTAAAATATTAAAGATATGTTTAATATTGCTATTACTTAGTAAACAATTAAAAATGGTAAAATAGTCCTTTGTTCATTTATCCAATCCAGTTCGTCCAACCAAACGTTGGATTCACTAAAAATATCTAATCCCATGAAAAAATAAACAGAGGATACATATCCAATCCAACCAAATAGTCCGGGGGATTCACAGCCATAGTTCTAAATATCGATTCGTACCGGAAAATCATAGGACCGATTCGGATACTCATCGGTATACCGGTGAGAATGAAATTCACAGTCGTAGCGTTCGAGTCCCGGTACGTAACAGCGTGAATCCGATATATGCGCCGATACGGGCCGATACAGACTCTGTATCTGTTGTTGTGCCGCGGCTCTGTTTTTCTTCTTGCTCTGTTTCTGTTTCTGTTTCTGATTTTTTTTTTTTCTTTCGTCGATCTAAAGCTGAAGTTGGAGAGGGCCTTGATCTGAGCTAAAACACACCCAGCAGACACAGGTAGATGCATACACATGCACACACGGCACACAGATACACATTGAGATACACACAAGTTCTCTCTCTTAGCGGGGATGGTTGCGGAGGATCTGCTAAAAAACCCACACACACAAAATAGGTGCATTGGGAGTCTAAGTTGAGATGGGTAAAGAAGAGAGTTACTCGGGTACATGGAGGAGCATGGGTTTATGGTGGGTTTGTAGATTCAAATGTTTAGTTTTTTTTTTTTTCTTCTATTTATTTGTTTATAGTATGATATAAAAGAGAGAGTTACTTGGATATTACTTGCAGTGAAGAAGCCAGGGACAAGGTTTTTTTTTTTTTTTTTCTTCTATTTATTTGTTTTGGAGGTGGTGTGGCTACACCTGTTTATACACCAGCACCTCTATTTATATTAATATATATATTTATTTTTTTCTCAGTATAAGAAAAAATAAATATTCAAATCAATTTTTTTATTAAAAGATTAACATATGTCAAAAATAAATACAAATAATTTAGTTGAAAATGAGTCAAAAATGTTCCCACATAACGAAATTTTGATTGAAATGTAACAAATTAAAGTTAAAAGAGTAAAAAAAATGCATAAAATTTGGTTTTAGAGGGATTGCTAATGATTTTTAAAATTTCACAGTTGCGGCATCCGATTCCCGATGCGTACCGGCCGATACTACCGATACCGATACTCCGCGATCGATACCGTTACATTAGCCAATACTGCGATTTAGAACTATGTTCACAGTCCCAGAACTCAAGTCTAATGGATTCTAATCGCCCCTTATCCAGTTTGTCCAATCAAACACACCCTAAAATGTATATTCAGGCTTCTTCAATTAGGCACCAACTACCAAAGTCAGGTTTTGGGGCCCTTCATTAACTATGGCTCTTCCTATATTTATACAATGCTTTGCCATCTTCTATTTCTCAACTCTTTTATCTGTCATTGTTTTGCTCTCCATGGGGCTTCATCAGCTTATCACCGCACTTATCTTTGCTTTGGTTCTTGCTAGGGTTGAGCTCTCAGCATGCCATGTCTTGAAAGGCTCTGTCACTTGCCTTGACTGCAATCCCCACTACGATCTTTCTGGTTTGTCCCAACCTAACTCTTCTTAGAGAGAGCGTAGTACCTTCTCTCATTAATTTCTTTAGTTTTACGTACAAGAGCTTATGATGATATGATCAAACTATATGTGTTGCTAACATTGAGTATTTTATGGCGGCCTTGCTGCATTTTTTTTTTCTTTCAAGTTTAGAAAGTTGATAAGCGTTTCTCTCTTATTTTCTTGATGATTACTTTTTTTTTTTTTTTAAATTTATTTAAAATTTTCTTTTCTTATAAGTTGTTAGCATATGTTGCATCAAACATTAATTTTTTAAAATTTTCTTTTCTCGTTTGACAACATGATTATTTTAATTAATTTTTTAAATTATTTTAGCCTAACTAAAATAATTGTGTTTGGCCATTTTTGGTAATTAGGTTAAAAGTCAATTTTGTGGCTTTCAGATTTTTTTGGATCATATTACATTTTTACATTTTTACACATTTTTTTCCAAAACAAAGTAAAAAAAAGCCAAAAAACAAACTTACTTCCCAAGCACTTGGTTTTTTTTTTTGGTTATAAGAAAAAAATGAAATGATTATGATTTTGATATGATATTTTATGTTATTAATTATTTTAGTCTATTTTATCTTTATCAGCTATTTTAGCGTCTTCCCCCCCTCCAAAAAAAACCTCCCTCCCCCCCTCCAAAAAAAAAAAACAAAATCAAAAACAACCAACCCAACTTCCCAAATACCCCTAAATATGTTTGGGACAACCTTTTACAAAACTGAAAGTTAATAATTAGAAGATAAAAATTGTAAACACTTATTTCTTATTTTTCAATAATTAGTTTTCTTTTTGAAATAAATTTATTTAACAATTTATACATATATGTGTTTGTTATAACTTTTGGGTATATATAGGGAGTCACGAGCTTTGTTACAATTTCTAGGTTATGACTCAAAAGTAAATAAGTTTAAAAAAAAATTTAAAAAAACCACTATTCATTGGTAATTTTTTAAAAATGTTATATATTAATAAAATAGTTTATGATTTTAACTATTAATATTTAAATTATTTATCACTTTTTTATAATTATTATTATTTTTTTGATAATCACTGTTACGTTATTTATTAAAAAAATAAAATAAATTTTTAAAAGCTGAGAGGGATACTTTTAGATTCCTATAATAGATTATTAATTTTTTAATAAAATAAGGGGTGCTTTGGAATGTAGGATATTTGATGAAAAAAAAGCTCAAAACCTTAAAAAAAAATCAAAACATAAGGGGTATATCAAAAATAAGTTGTCCATATCAATATAAAAAGATCAATATGCCCTTACACTTTTGAGAACATGTTATTTTAGTTTTTTATTAAAAAATATACAAAAAAATATAGAGAATGATATAACAATTTATAATGATTTTTTAAATTTTTAACTAAAATACATAATTAACAAACGAGATTTAAGTTTTTTTTTCATACGACTAGAACAAGGGTAAAATGAATATTTCGGACAAAAAATGTTACTTCAACCTCTCACATTTTCCATACAATTAAAAAATCAATTTCTAAAAACATTAATAACTTTTTTTATAAAAAAATTAAAAAGTAAAAAAAGAAATTATTAAAAAAACTAATCCAAAAAACACCCACTAAATTGCAACAAACTCTCTTTAGTGACTTTTTTGAAGTATCTTCTTCTCTATCTTGTTTCAGACATCAAGGTTCTAGTGAAGTGCAGCCAAGTGAAGAAGTTGGCAATGGCAACCACAACTGAAAATGGAACCTTCGAAACTGAGCTTCCCTCCGACGCTCAACCACCGCCTTCCTTCAACTGCCTAGCCAGTGTCTTCGGCGGTCCGAGCCAGCTCTATGTCTCGAGAAAGAACATGGTTTCAAGGACTACAAAGCTCTCTCAATCAGACTCCTACACCATTTCCACTCCACTCAAGTTCCACACATCATGCCCTTTGGCCAACAAGGACACCGCCAAATGCGGCCCCCAAAACGCTGTTATTGGGTCGTCGAAGACTGTCGATCTGCCTCTGCCACCGGAGTGGGGACTAGCTCCGACCAGCTACTATTTTCCCTTCATGCCCATCATCGGCATACCTTAAGTTGTTCTATAGTACTCATGTTTATAGTACTCATGTTTTAAAGTTTATGTAATATGTAATTTTACGCGTGTCAGACATATTTTGTAGTTCTCAAATATGTAGGTCCACTCATGGTGTGTGTTTTGTTTGATTTGTTTATGGTGCAACTTATATTAGTGGTACCAGTTCAAGAAAACTTATATTAGTCGTATGTATGACTAATATTAGTGGTATGTACCAGTTCAAGATCAATTTATATATTTATATATATAAGAATCGTCTATCTGTTTGAGATTCTCTTTTTTTAATTGATTTTATCTTTCTATTTTGAATCATTTACATAAAATTTTATTTTCACACACTTAATTACTCCAGTGCATATATTCTCTTAGTACATGTTCGGGGAAAAGATATTCGTTGATGTCCGTACTCCTTTCGTCCAATCTTCGAATCTATTCGACCGACCTGAGAACACAACGGCGGTGAGCTACCCGGCGGTGTGTTATCGGAAAATCCCTCCGACGGTTAAGTTAGCATATACTCAGAGATAGAGAGAGAGAGAAAGAGAGAGGAGAGTTGAGTGTTTAGGTTTCTCTCATCAAATAATGTTCCATCCCCAGCATGGGGGGCGCAGTCATGCTTATATACTTTCTGCGCTCAACTCTACACCCATTAGTCTCTTGACACGTGGAGCTGCTCTCCCATCTGTCAGCACAAATCCAGCGCAAATCACCTAACCAAACCGCCAGACAACATTAGCGGGAACTCAGCAGCCCGACAGCATCCTTCTCGGCTTTCCACGACCGTGTTGTGTAACGAGTCCGAGTGCTCCACTCGCCGAGCTCCATAACAACCGAGCTCGGTAGCATTCTGGTAGAGCCGAGTTCAAGACAGGTCGAACCGGTGAGTAGAAGGCCTTCCCCGCCGAGCTACACATGCGAACCATGGAACCCGGGTTGGCAAGCGATCATCTCGGCCAAGTAAGCTCGGTCCAAATAGGGGACCTAGACCTCAAGCCTGGGCCTCAACCGAGCAAGGCCAACTCCAGGGAAGCCCCAGTTAGCTCGACCTAAACAGGGGGCCTGAGCCTCGACTGAGTAAAACCCACTTTGAACAGGCCCAAGTTAGCTCGGCCCAATCATGCTCGGCCCTATCTTGTCAGGCTTCTACCACAGCCCAAAGCCAGATTATAAATCTCCCTCTCAATTGCCCCTTAATTTCGTTCGTGCAAGCGTGACTGGGATTACATGATTCGACCGGGGTAGACTCTCCCTCGGTTCTTAGTTCGTAAGACGTCAACTGCACTAATCGATATGCTCAGTTTCTTGATTTGCTCGGTCGACGCCTCAACTCGCCTTTTTGTCTCTTCAATACTGACGCTGCCGTCAATAGGGACACGCGTCAATCGTTTATTGGCCTCGAGCAACCAACCCAGACGTCTCCTCACATTCAAAATTTTGGCGGTTCTTCTCTCCTATAAACACGTCACATCCCTCTTTAATTTTCTTCTTACTGTTTCACCTTTGTTCTAGACGAACCAAAGCTATCGTGACCTTCCTACTACCCAGCATCATTCTAGCTCTCGACTGCGTTTGTGCTCGAAGATTCGACTTTTGCCTCATTCTGGTAAGTTCTTCGAATCTCTTCATTGCCTTTTCATTTGGTATTTCTCATTTTAGGGCATAAAAACTATAGGTTTTAGGATATAGCTCCCCAAAATCCTCTTCTGCCCTTGCTCTCATTCCTGTTCTTCAACTTCAGTGATTAACACATGAAGATCTGGGGTGGACCGGGCTCCAGGTCTTTTTTTGATCCCAAAAAACACCGAAACCGAGCAAGTTACGAGTTTACAAAACTCGCGTAGAAACCGAGGTAACGGAGTACTGGACCGCTCGACTGGGCTAAAATCTGGTCCACTTGGGCGGCCGAGCTTCTAGTTTACCTCTGTAACCGAGATGGACTGGCACACCATATGACCGAGCTAAAGTCAAGCTCGTTTTGCACGACCGCGCTCCCATTTACACTTACACTCCTTTTACTGCAGAGTCCAAGGGGACCGCGCACTAACACTGAGGCTCTCAGAGACCGAGTAGCCATCAAACGAGAGTTTTTGCCAAATCAACACAGCTGTGCTAAAACCAGCCGGCTACACATGGGGTGCTACCGTTTCCTAGTTGACACGTCGGTCGCATTAGCCGCGTTCCAGGAAGAATACGGTGTCCCCGCTGACGTACATCTCGAGCTCGGCGTCGAGGACACAACCTCCTAGGGCAGACTAGACCAGTGCCCTTTTACCGTGCTTTCCATTATCGAAGGCGGCCTCTGCTTCCCGGTCAATTCGCTCATGTGCGAGTTCTTGAGGCGCACCAGGCTAGCACCAACGCAAGTCTCAACCAACACTTATAGAATATTAACGGAATAGCCGAGCTGAACAACCGGCTAAGAGTCAGCCTAGGTTTAGCCGAGATACTTCGCCAGTGCACCCTCGGGCATATAGGGGATAGACTAAACTATTACCTCAAGATCAGACCGGGCAAGGAGAAGATAGTAACCGGCACCCCAAACAAAGATATGCACGACGACGACTTTTTCTAGGTGTCTGGAAACTATGAAGCAGCCGACATGCCCGGCTGGTACATCAGCAAGAACTTTAGTTCGACATGTAAGCCGTGCACGCTGCTCGGTCAAATTATTTTCCTTCACTATTCTGTACAAATGCATTTTCTTCTTTTCCTCTTTGTAGCCATTGAAGCTTTGCAAGCCAACTACCGTAATCCTAACGAATTAGCCATCCGAACCGTACTGCGGTACCGTGACCGGGATTGCCACAAACTTCTTGGCTACGTACCGACCTACAGATACTCCGCTCCTCGCTGAAGTAGAGTAACAGACTTCCTCCGAGCGCCGTCCCCACCTCCCGATCCAACACTACCGGACGTGTCCCTTATCCGGTTGACAAAAGCAGAGGAGATGGCCAAATGAAGCCGCATCAAAAATCTCATCACTGCCACATCCACCGAGCTGCCGAGCATCACTTTCCGCGCAGCTACTGCCGGTCAATCAAGTGGGGCCGTGGTTGCATTGGCGTCAACTGCTGCAGTGCAGACAAGCAAAGAAAGCCGTCGCGCCGGGAAAAGGCCTCGCGTCGCCGATCCCTCAGCCGAGCTCATTACGGAGCTGAATACAGAGCAACCAGTGGTCACAACTGAGCCAACACCTCCCTGGAAGCCTCAATTGAAGCACCAAGGAAAAGAGATTCCGGCCAGTGCTTCGGTCAAAGGAGACAAAGAACACCTTCTCACCTTCGACCTAACAAAAGCACTGTTCCTGCCGAGCGATGTGATCGGCAGTGACCACGTGCCTGACACCCAGCTCGTGAAGTCCTCGATCAAGTTTATGACTCGGGTAAGAATTTTGAAGGCTTTACTCAAAATTTTCCAAGTGTTTGCTCGGTTACCTTTCTCTAATCAACCTCTCTTCTCGCAGGCCATCCAGAAACAACATCTGGTGATGGAGCGGATCCATAGACTCCGGCAGAAAGCGACTGACGCTGCCAGCTAGGTTGAGCATCTGCAGACAGAGCTGGGATGGTCAAAGGCCTCTTTAGAGATTGCCAACACAGACAACTCCAAATTGCTCGGTCAACTTGGAGCCGCCGAGAACGAAAAGGATGCTCTCCGGGCCGAGCTGGAAGTGTTGAAACAATCAAGGAAGGATGAGGTGGATGCGGCCAACAACGAAGGTTTCAAGGAGGCCGAAGAAAGCTACACCAAGCAGGTCGAGGCCACCAAGGACATATTCTTCAAGTCCAGTCGGAAGGCTGCTTGCGAACAGCTTGGCCAAGGATCTGGAACCGACATGTTTGCCTCTCCCCCAGTTGCCTTTCTGCCGACGTACATGGTGTCATACGCCAACGATGTCTTCAATGCATTGCAGGCTGAGGCCGATGAGGAAGACGAGGACGAAGCCGAGGAAAATGCCGAGGGGAAAAACTGCGCAAAGCAGGCCGGCCCGGTGGAGACCAACGTCCAAGAAACCATAACCACGGTCAACCTGGAGGCAACTGCAACCGGGGATGACTTTGCTGACCTCTTCCCCTTAGTTTAGTTTTCTTTTTTTTCTTTTTTAAGAATGTAACCGGGCTGCCTGCCACACCTTATGTAATTCAGTTTCACATCAATGAAAAATTTTGATTTCGCTAACTGTTGCACTGCTTGTTGGACTGTGTTTCACCAACTCGGCAGGAACTTTTAAACAAAACGTCAACTACTTTAGCCGGGGTAAATCACCTCGGCTAAATCTTTTGAGTTGGACAAATCACCAACCAATTTAGCAGGGACAAAGCATCTTGGCTAAAGCCTGAGTAAATCATCAACTCATTCAACCGAAGTAAAACATCTCGGTTGAAACCATAGAGTTGAGTAAATCATCAACTCATTCAACCGGGGTAAAACATCTCGGTTAAAACCAAAGAATAGAGTAAATCATAAACTCATCCAACCGAAGTAAAACATCTCGGTTGAAACCAAAGAGTTGAGTAAATCATCAACTCATCCAACCGGAATAAAACATCTCAGTTGAAACCAAAGAGTTGAGTAAATCATCAACTCATTTGACCGGAGTAAAACATCTCGGTTAAAACCAAAGAGTTGAGTAAATCATCAACTCATTCGACCGGAGTAGAACATCTCAGTTGAAACCAAAGAGTTGAGTAAATCATCAACTCATTCGACATGAGTAAAACATCTCGGTTGAAACCAAAGAGTTGAGTAAATCATCAACTCATTCAACTGGAGTAAAACATCTCAGTTGAAACCAAAAAGTTGAGTAAATCATCAACTCATTCAACCGGAGTAAAACATCTCGGTTGAAACCACAGAGTTGAGTAAATCATCAACTCATTCAACCAGAGTAAAATATCTCGGTTGAAACCAAAGAATAGAGTAAATCATCAACTCATTCAACCGGAGTAAAACTTCAGTGAAGATAAGTCATTTCTATTATATTGACAAAAAGAGTATTACATTCAAAAGTACAGGGAGAGCAAGTCCTTCCACACAAAAAATTACATAAGAGCGTCAAATACTAAAAATAGTACAGTTTGAGGTTGGCCGCATTCCATGGCCGGGGTATGCCTCTTCCTTCCAAATCTTCCAAGTGGTATGCCCCCTTACCCGCCAGACCGGTTATCCTGTAAGGTCCTTCCCAGTTTGCCCCTAGCT